AGCCAATTCAGTCACACCCGGACTGTCTTGGAAAATGTACTCTCTCTATGTGTGTCATTCACTAACATGTCAATCACAGGTCACAGGCTTACTGGTTTTTGTATCATATGTAGTGATATCTCTCAAAAAATGTTATTTACAATATAAGGGAATACAGGTCTCTTCTTTAATTATGCAGGATCGGCCGACTTCCAACCTTAATGGTAAACATAACTATTTTTGTGGTGTTTGGCACGCTGCAAGCTGTAGTACGAAACGTGGTAATGTTTATGATATGTAATTTCATGATTGGTATACCATATTTTGGTATATACTACCAATCGCTTTTATTGGGTAAGTTATATATCTCTTGTTATATTTATTTTGATGAACATCTTTCACTGATTCAATCATGGCTTACGTTTAGCAATTACTGTATCTGTACTTAAACATGTATACATGTATGTCGTATTGTAATAATCATTGCCAAGCATTTCCATGGCTACAAAATTATATAGCAGAATTATATTTGTTATCGTTGTACAAGGAACATACTTTGAGAATGTCGCTCCTTTGGGGCATGTGGTGGTCCTTATATGGCAGTGATGTAAATCATTACAGCGATAAATTCTTCAAAGTTTATTTTGGTTCTGATCTCGTATGCAAATATGCAAGTCAGCAAAAACTAAGCACTTACATCTTAAAGGGCGGTAGTCGTCGCGCCACGCATGCGCGAGATATATTGGTCTCATATAAACAAAGATTGCGACTTTGATTGTTGTGCAGATCAACGAGTACAAACTGAGACGTTATCAAGCTTTAATTAGGTATTTTTTAGGTAATTGGAAGGTATGGAAGGAGTCACCGACGGTAATTAGTGCAAGTCGCGCCCAGGTAAAACCTCATACCTGTGATTTTCATCAGAAGAACGCATAAGATTGTGGGAAAATCAATGTTTATCAACACAAATGTCGAACATGCGCAGCGCGACGACTGCCGCGCTTTAAACACTGTTATATCGCACTTATTATAAAACATTTAACTGACAGCAGCAATGACAGGCGGTTAAAACATGTTAATGATTAATAGAGACACACTCATTTGTAAACAAAACTTGTTTTAATGCAAATAATTAATCAGCTCGTAATTTATGCAAATCATATTTTTACATATCCTCACTAATATATCTATCTATAGCTTTTTATTTTGAAAATACGAAATTAAGTCTTGAATAAGTTTATTCTCTCCAGAAATTTGACCACAACTCTATCTGGCAATAATGAATGATTATATAATAATGTATATCATAATAACCGATCCAGATCTTTTAAAATCTAACCGCTTGTACAGTGAGTTAGCTATCCTTGTTAGTTAGTAGGGGGAACATTTTTGTTTTTCTGCAACTATGTCAAGAGAATATTTCCATAAATGTTTGTGATATAAATGAAAAATCATTCCCAAAAAATGCTGTTGCCATGGATGCCAGTAGCACATTTCTACCAAATGTAATAGATTGGTCCATAATAAGAGTAACCCCTTCTAAACAGTGTCATTGAAATCCACTCAAGCGATTTTGATACATTCTCAAAATTGTTGTTAATAGCCCCGTCACACCATAAAGTTTTGGTCAGCGTTCTCTGAACGTTCCAATCGTCCGATTTCCGAGCGTTCTGGAACGAGGTAGACACATCCAGCGTTCGATTAACGAGTGCCCCTAACGCATGACTAGCGTGTTCCTAACGCACGAGGAGCGTGTAATGAGCGACCAAGTAAGATACCCCTGGAAATCATTGACGTGTGCTAACGTGTCACTAGCGCGCGACGAACGACTTTTAAACGTTAAGTGAGCGTGTTGAGCGTGTATCTAACGTTAGGTCGTTAATTTGACGTTAGTCGCACGCTTTATGTGCGCTAGGGGTACGTTCAGCGGTCGTTGACAGGTCGCTAGTGAGTTGTTCACTGCAAAGCGAGCGATTGGTAACAACTAAGTAACGCTAGAGCAACGACTGACTAACGATTGTCGAACGCGTCGAACGTTAGCAAAACGATCGAAGAACGTTATTTAACGTTTAACAGCGTTTACAAATAAACGTTGAAGAACGCTGGTCTCAATGATGAA